ATACATGTATGACTTCGTGTTTCGTTGCGTTGAGATCGGTTAACTTCCACTCGCCAACAGCACGGACGAGTGCTTCCACTATTGGCGCGTCCCGTGCTGGTGCGTGTCCTTGTTTTTTTTTTTTTCATTGAGATCACTTCCGCATAGACAATCCTACGGCAGGTTGACGAGTTTTTGGCATGCATCAATTGCTGTCCGGGCGTTTTTGGTCGCTTAATCGTCGATGGACGTGACGTATTCTTATAGAAGGTTTGTGTCACAGCGGCAATGAATTTGACGTGATGCCCCTCGAGACCGTGATGCACTCACATGGACCGCTACCTGACGTTCCTCGCGAGTTCGAACCTAGCGTGTCACTTTCACCTCCCCCCCCTATTTTTTTCTCATCTTCTTTTTCCTTATGCATACAGCACGTAGTTCGCTGTCTCGTTTTTTTTTCTCGTCTTCTTTGTTTTTCAGTCTTTTTCTTTGAGTCTGTCTCTCGCATGCATGTGTTTTTGCTTTTATCCGTTCCCGTGAATGCTGTTGAATGCACTTTCCGATTACGTATGCGGCCGCTTTGTATGCCATGGGACTTGTCGATACCATCAGTGGGGACTTGTCAATACCATCCGTGAGACGATTGCTTACGTGAGTGGGCATATTATCGTCGATTCCTTCAGCTATATGCCCCTCTGTGCGCGGCACAGACAAGATTGTACCGGCAAGTAGTCCCTAGTAAGCCGGGGGAAACAGAAAACAAGGCACCTGCCTCATGTGCATACTCGTGACAGCATCATGCCCTACTGCCGCGGGTCGATTGGTTATGTCCGATGCCGCAGGGTTCCTCCACCCCGTGCAGTACAATGGCTGCTATCAACCGCGACAAGTCAGCGTGCGACCATACAACAGGCCCCGCTCTTTCTTTTTGCCGTTGAATTTTTTCTTCAGAGAGAGTACGTCTCGGTTGGGACGAACCGCATTTTTTTTCTTCAGCGAGAGTACGTCTCGGTTGGGATGAACCGCATCCCATGTTTGGGAAGGGACCTATCTGAGCGGCGCGGCGAGCGAGACTGCGGTGGCTTGCCGCCGCTTATCTTACTGCACCCTCCCCCCTCGTGCTAAATGCACGCAGCGGTGAGGTCACAAGAGTAGCGGGACGCGAATAGGAACACGGCCGACACGATGGATGTTGGACACGAGTACACACCTTTATATGGAGAGTCGCGTGCTGGTCACTTCCCCAATGCTTGCGCCGTGTCCCGTCCCGCCCTTTTCTAAACTGCCGCCGCTACTGCGTTAGGCGGCTGCTGCTGTCCTTCCGTTGCTTCACGCGCTCTGTAGCTGTCACACGTTACCCGACTTTGCTACAGCCCCTGCGTGGACTCGATCACGGAATGACACCCCCAACTATAGACTAATAATTCCAAACACCGTGACCCTGGGTTTCCGGTAGAAAATGAAGCCAAATTCTAATTCGACTGTTACAAAATAAACACCAGTTTATTCTATCTGCTTCGACGAACAAACATTCCTATTGTATTCCTGAGCTTTGCTTCGGACGAAACTTGTGGTGGAAGTGTTGGTGTCGGCGCGTGCTCTCGGAGGAGGTCTCGAACAATCTGCAGGCTTATGCCAAGCAGATTGGAGCGTCGCCATAAAGAGGGTTGGATTGCAGCAGGGTCATCTCCGCGATGTTCAATGCCCCATATGGCACCGTATGGGCTTAGCTTCGACAAGCAGCTTGTCGCCGGTGCCCAAAAGATGTTGTCGCACAGCGGGATTTTGCGAAAAATTCTAGTAGGAGACGACACGAACCACGTCTTCACGCTCGCGCTCCCAACCTGCTTCGTCAAACCCTTTAACTTGGCGTCCGTAACGCTAATGTTTCATAGGATCGGAAACACGCATAATCCACCGCAAGCATCATGGTCGTCAAATAGACGAGCCTTAGCAGCCGCGAAGAATTTCCTCCACAAGAGTATTCCACACCATCCACAGTACAGATGGAAGGCGTCCATTGCGAGAAAGCCGACGGGGCTTGCCAGAGTAGCACCATATCAGGCGTACAGTACTCCTTTCTCGGATCAAACGCGGGTGGTGACCACTTGGCATCGGTCGGAGGAGGAGGGTAGATACGAATACCAGCTATAGTGGAGGAGGGGGATTTCTGTTGCCCCGAGTCCTCTACTCTACCAACAGCGCAACCCGGAGGAGGTGTATTGTCTGTAGGGCTTTCGCTTGAATCCATCACGTTGGAGACATGACGGACCTCCCTTGACGAGGGTGGCGAGTTTTTCGTTGTTTGTTCAACGAGGGGCGCAATCGGAGCGTCCTCCGAATACGGTGTTGTCAGCACCTCCGTGGTCGCGGTTGAGGGCCGCTCAGCTTTGGTACTCCGCGAATCGCAAACCACGGGAATTCGACGCGTATTTCTTTCAACGCAATCGGTCATACTCGCTTCACCGCGCGGCGAGTGACTGTTATCACCGTCTCGAGTTCCATCGGCCTTAGCGCAGTAGGCTGTCGATGAACCGTACGCAGTGGACATGTCCAAATCATCGCGTGAGGTAGCTAGACTTGGCGACGCTTCATCTATTGTCGGAGGAGAAAGAGAGAGGCCGACGCGGCGCTGAGCGCGGTAAACGAGGAAACTGTGTAGAAATGCGTCGTGTCGAGGTGCCCTGTACCCAAGGGTCGTGTCTGCAGGCGGTTAAGCCTGTGTGCAGTCGTCAAGACTGAAGTTGGTATCATTGTTGCCTCAGTGCCTCAGTGGGACTTTCATTATTGCCTGCCGGTGGCACCGGAGCCTAGCTCAGTTGCAGAGTTGAGATGTTGAGGGATAGTTGGGGAGTGAGCCCGGTGGGGCTCGCAACACCTTGTGATCTCGCTACAATTACAATCCTCTGCTCAACCATCAATTCATTCGTGAGCTTCTCGCTAGAACTCGTCACACATGTTACGTTTTACGAAACGTCACATATCACACCGCATCTTCATCATTGCATACAGCAATCATACAGCTGCATAGCTGCATCTATTCTACTACACACATCCTACAGCAGTAATGTGCTGTAGTTCAACAAACTGCTCCATTGGAGGAGCAAATCCTCCAGCTTACCCTGGAGCGCGCGTTTACCCTGAGATCCGCTGATGAAGAGACACCGCAAGCCACCAGCGGCGCACTTGCTTCGAGCAACCCTGCCCCGCCTGGTGCCGCGCATGATGCAAGAGACACCGCACTTTGGCACCCGCATCCACAATCACTTGATTGCAAACGAAGTGTAGATGTGCCGACTGGAAACCGTGATTCTGCCCCTGTTTACAGCGATGCAATTGCATGCAGAGACGTAGAATCTGTATCTAGTGCATCTTTACCCGCCGTAGCAGAAGATCGTACCCCTCCACCAGTACCTCCTCTCCCATTTGCACCCACACGCGTGCAGACAATGAGTACTCCCGCTGTCAGACGTTCAAGGCGTTTAGCTGGTAAACCCCATCTGATGCGATCAACCATCATAGTCTAATCTGCCAGGACCGCTCCAATGCGTCCCGTGCCTGCTCATGAAACTCCCGAAAAACGACTACACCCAGTTGTACCCCATGGTCATGCAATCTCGTCTGTTGGCCATCCATTCACTCGTACCCTTTCGAATTTAGCCGATATGGCGGAGCCGCCGACGGCGAGAGGGGTGCTGCTGCTGCAGGCGGTACGCCTGACGTCGACATGCGCGGCGCAACTTCCCTTGACGAGCAGTCGATGCCGTCCATCTTCCAGAATGTGATGATGCCTTCCGCGTGCCATGGGGTAAACTGGACGCCGATGAGCGAGCGGCAATGCTCGACAACAACCACATCTTGTTCCGCAACTTTGAAGAGGCGAAGCGTGAAGCTGACGCTAAAGCGCGTGCGTTGGCTGAAGAGGAGGCAGACGAACGAAAGAGAGAGGCCGACGCGGCGCTGAGCGCGGTAAACGAGGAACCTGCTCAATTGGAGGAGCAAATCCTCCAACTTACCCTGAAACGTTTGTTGTGTCCTCGGAATGCTGTTCGGAATGCAGCCGAGAGAACGTTTTGATAGTTTCTCGGGGACTTGCGACGGCAAGACCAGGGGCAGAATCGCTCAAGGCGACCGCTCCGCTTGTTCGTTCTGAACGTGTTTTCGACGGAGCTGCTAACTCCCATCGAGTGAGTGTGTGAGGCATCGATCAAACTCGGGGAATGAGAGCCAACACGATCCACATTCGGCACATGTCCGCGCTCGGAATGGGATGCAGTCGGGCTGGCGTCGGAACAATTCAAACTCTGAGGTTCGAAAAAGCCGATAGCGGCACAGCTGGACTTGGGCAGGAGTACTAGACTCGACCGCGCCACTGGGGGCGCCCGACACGCGTCCGACGGAGCTGTGAGCTTCAATCGTGTGCGTGCGTGAGGCTGCAATCAAACTTAGAGAGCGAGAGCCGTCGCCATCCAATTCCGGTACATTGCTGTGTTCGGATACATGGACGCGGGGTGCGAGTGTGCGAGTTGAACCACCGAGCTCATCTGCATTTCTGCAGATGTCTCAAAGCGGTGTGCCACATTTGATGACCAGCGGCGAGCTGAATCACGAGAGGGCACAGACCTGGAGCGCGGCGCGCGACCAAGGCCTTCGGTGTGCCACATCTGATGCACACAGCCGCAGTTCCACTGTATGTAACTAACAGTGCTCCGACGGGTGTGGTATCTAACAACGCACTCGATGCGCTCTTCCACACGCAACAACCAATTTGAACCAACCATGGTTCGGAGAGCGGGAGATTACTCTCTCTTTGCTCACATGTTGTACTTCTACCCGTGGTGATGGATGCTCCTTGCAGCGACTGTTGTGTTTCCCTCGTCTCAAGCAATGATGCATCGCAGGGCGCTGCTACGCATTCTGGATGAACAGCAGTTCTAACGAAGATCTACGATCGTCATGATCTCCGTTTTTTGTATTTGACAGTGCCAACCGACGGCGGCACACCATCTGTCACACGTAACATGAACTACGGGAAGGCCGAAGAGCTGAAGCTTACACCGATCGCCCCGCTGCTACTGCTACATACCTGCGCGTATCTCGACTACGCAAACGAAGCACGATCCCTAGGCGTGCCTCCCTGTCAGTCTCTGGCCAGGCGACGCGATGACCCGGCTGTCAGCTGGCCTTGTGCTTCTGGCTCAGGCGGCGACCTTTGGGGCGAATCACGCGTTCTCAGTGAGCAGCGGCAGCAGTAGCGCACGGGTGCATCATGAGCTGTCAAGACATCGTCCGCCCAAGCCTTTTCTGGCTGCCGAAGTCTGCTTGCAAGGATGGTGCTCCCACAAGTGCAAGGCGCGAGTGGTGGCTGGCGGAGCGGCGGGCGTGTCGATGTCGTGGTGCTGCAAGATGAGGCGAAGCCGCGGCTCCTCTCGTCTGACTGCTGCTGCTGCTGCTGCTGCTGCAGGAAGTGCAGGCTCAGGGCCAAGGTCAGCCTGGGAGAGCAGCGGGGTCAGCGGAGACTCAGGCGTCGATCAGACGGAGCAATCGGAGGCGCAGCGGGGGCCTAGCGTCAAGGCCCAGATGATGGAGATCTTGAGGCCTGATTTGCCAAGGGTGGGAACGGTCTAGAGAGCGGTTCTGTTGGTTGGTGCACATGTTGAATGCTGCTGGCCGTGTCTGCGGACGTACAAAGCATCTCTATCTTGTACGTACAAGACACGCAAGTTGCCGTTGTAGAGCTGTTGTGTAGTCGTCGGGGACGTCCATATCCACCCAGCTAAGCATGAAGAGTATCATCTCAGTTCGCACAAATAGTATCGCCCTTTCTTTGTGGTACCAATCATTCGTCATCAAACACTTGAAAGCGAAGGATGCAATTTACGTAGGTTGCGTAAGATAACACACCCCCTCTGGACCGATATTCGAAGCTTGACTACTCTGCAGGAACGGCAGTGACGGTGCCGAACTGGGCGGCGTTGTAACCGTCTCGTCAAGAGCTTTCTCAAAACGTACCATTTGATTTGGGTATCCTCTTCGTCGTGGAGTAATCGAGATTTGAAGTGGGTCCAGAGGGGGTGTGGTATCGTACGGTAACATGAGTCGCCCACAGGGGAGAACATCTCTTGACGCTGCTCGCGGAACAGCAGAAATACAAGTTGGTCATCATAAACACGACGGATGAACTCATTGCTAATTTTATCCCGAACTATTATCTGCTGCGGAAGAAATGACTGTTTTGCTGTTTTTTGTATAAAATACAGAGAGAAATAACGTACGGTTATTTATTCCAAATTTTTTGAATTTGAAAGTTGGGCTGCCAACCGCCGCTGCTCGTACCCCGGTACTTAGTACTTGTACTTCATATCTTGTAAAACAGCAACAGGACCAGTTTGTACGTTTGTTTCCCCCCAGAGCATATCGTGCCAGCAAAACGCGGGTGTTAACTCTCTGCGGTCGAGCCATGTGTTCATTGTTCAGAAATAGTGGACCGTACTATTATGTAAATGGTACGTACCAACCACGCTATGATATCTACTCTGCTTTTTCGATACCAGCAGCATCGCCGAACACGCGTGTGGTGCTCCAAGAGCGGACCAAGTACAGTACGGGTTACCATCGCATGCGGGGTAGTCAGACACAATCTGTATACCATGGTGCCCACGATATGCACCACTTCAGCCTGGCTTTTGGAGATGCGTTCAAAGATAGATATAGTATTGTAGTGCATGGCACTCCCTGGACCGGTTGTTGCCGTTCACGTTCCTGCTCTCCTTGCTCTCCGCCTGCAAGCTGGGCACAGCATCGACGACCACGCACACGTGAGACGTGTGCGTATGCTGTACCACCCACCGGCACACGCACAAAGCGCAATACACAGCTCGTTTATTGCGGCTCCTCACAAAGCACCCACTTTGTCAAAAACGCCTTCCTTTTTTAATCGCGGCCCTTTTCCGTCTCCCTCCACTCTGGCGCACCCACGCTCAATTTTGTCCGTTTCTCTTTCTTCCTCCTCCGCACCCCAAAAACGAAAGATATCTGTTTCGGTTCTGTGGGCGGCTCTGGGCACAGTGGCAGCCCTCGCCGCCCCCCTCGCCTATGCTCGTATCGTCGAGGCGATCCTGGACCCGACCTCCCCGCCCTCCCGCCTCACGAGGGCTGTCGCCATGCTCGGCACCAGCTACGCCGTGGAGCCTGTGTCGACGTATCTGTACGTGAAGGTCATGAGCGGGGTGATCGACCGAGCGGCCTCGGGGCTCAAGCTCCGGGCGTTTCGGTCCCTGCTGGCGCAGGAGGTGGCGTTTTTCGACCTAGGGGGGTCTTCAGAGGTGCGGCGCACAACGCGGGGGGGGGGGGGGGGGGGGGGAATCCAAAGCCGGGGTGGCCGAATCCTTTTGCCCTTTGCCCCCCCACCCCCAAAAAGCGGGGAGGGGGACCCCGGGGTTTTCCCGGGACCGGGTTTTCCATTACCCAAAGGGAAAGGCCCGGGGGGATTTTGGGGGGCCCCAAAAAGGGGGGCTCCCCCCCCCTAAAGGGGTTCCGCCTGGGGGGGGGGGGGACCCCTAATTTTTTCTTTCCCCCCCCGGTAAAACCATTTACCCCCCCCCCCCCAAAAG